GCTTTAATAAGTCGTTGTGACGGCCATGGTTTTAATTGACGAAAGTCAGTGAAAACGCGTACTAACTTTTCCTGCTTGTTTTTCTCAGGGGAGAAGCCGTTTGAATGCACGGAGTGCGGCAGGCGTTTTGCCCGCTCTACGGACCTCAAGGTGCACATGCCCGTGCACAGCGAGGACAAACCCTACAAGTGCGGCGAATGTGAAAAGATGTTCACACGATTTAGCACGTTGAAGGAGCACATTCGAACGCACACAGGTACTTGAAATATATATATATTTTTTTAATTTTCGATGATCCAAAACAATAGTCGTTGTTCATGTTATTCGGTCGAATTCGGTGACCAAACCTGGATGGCCAGGAAAAACACCACACCTGTTAGGAAAACGTGGCTGCTATGTTAGATCAGAAATGTGGGATCTTCATGGCTTAATAAAAGCTTAGTTTTGTCGAAAGTTTTCTTAATTTTTGTTCTGTTTGTCTTTTTGAACAGTGTTTTGCCTGTGTTCAATCCTTTAAAATTGGCGGAACCGGCAGGGGGTACCAAGGGTTCGGGGGTTTTGGGGGAAGGGGTCCCTCTCATCAGACACTAATTTTTACTACTTGACACCAAAATTCAAGAAATGACTGGACCGCAAGTAACTACTGAATATAGTCTTTAAAATTTACTTGTAGTGAACTATAATTATATTTTTTTCTTTTTAAGGCTCTAGTTTAACAAATTTCTCTGTCTGTCTGTCTGTCTAACTACTTTGATTTATTTTCTTTGAAGGTGAACGGCCTTTTAAATGCGACGAATGTGGTCGAGAGTTCAACCACAGGAGCCATTTTAACAACCATCTCCGGATCCACACGGGCGAGAAGCCTTTCAAGTGTGAAGTTTGCGGAAAGGACTTCTCCCGTAAGGCCTCTCTCCGCTATCACATGAAGGTGCACAACAAGGGCGATGGACGAGTCAGACTGCGTGGGAAAAAGGACGAACAGTCTGACACAGAGGTCATCCATGAACAGTCACAGGGAACCAGAACCGTGGAACAGGTAAATTGAGATCATTTAAGCAAAGCAATGCTCTATATTGCACTGGTGAAACTGAAATGCTTAGCAGTATTTTCAGAAAAGCTTTAGACCGCATTTTTCTAGTGGTTAATCGGTACAATAGTCCTGCTGGGTTGCTGGAAGAACACTCGAAAAAGCTTGTTATCACTTGCTGTCGGCTCCTGTTCTTCCAGCCTTTCGCCTGGGTCAGTATACTGCTGAGGTAGTAGAGTTCGTAGGTGCGGCCTGTTGTTAGTGGTATTTTCAAGATCAATGTTAGTGCAGGAGCGCTGGTGGTCAGATAATGATATTCTCATATCGTCTTATGAGTAACTTCCTCCAGTTTGATCTGTTGCCGGGCAACAGAAAACAAACAGACAAACAACAATTGATGTGTTAAGTGAGTCAACAAAATAAAATACGAAACAGTTCTTTTTGTATATCTGACTGGAATCATTAAAGAATAATTTCTAAATTGGTCATGTGGACATACACACTGTATCTTTGAGTTCTCATTGGCTCTTCGAAGTTTTAATGTCTGGCTTATGTAACAACGCTTGTCTCGTTTTCCATCGCAACAGACCATGTCTACCGTAAACATCAGTCATCTGGGTACTGATGCTGACGTTCAGTTGGCCGAGGCTTTGGTTGCCGTCAGTGAAGCAGTAGTAGCGGCGGCGGCTGAAGGAGATGACACTCCTCGGGTTATAGCTGTTGAGGAAACGACACACAGCGAAGAGGATGCTGTTATGCAGCAGGTTTGTTGTTATGGAAACAGAATCATCTTTTTTAAACTCTGCTGCCATATGATCAATTCATTTCACGTCAAAAATCATTCACGGCTGATACCTTAGTATTGTGGGGAATTAGTGAGGAGCCCACACTGTCACTGTTCTCTTCCAGAATTTATTTCTCAAAAAAGCAGGCAGAACAACGTTACGCGAAGTCTCTGGCCGACTAAAAACTACTCGCAATGATTTTCTTATCTCATGAGCACACCTTGATCAAAACGTAAGTTGATTGGCTATAAAGTTCTTCCCAACAAAGATAAACAAACTGATTTATCAGAGCGGACAGATCGTGACACTCGATTTCCGGCAGATAATTTTGAATAGTTACAATACTAAATAGGGACCTTGAGAAACCACGACGGCGACGCCAAGGAAGACTTCGATTAAAAAATTAATTTCTACTCTTAGTTAGAATTTCAAAAATTGTTGCAGGAGCTTACTGTCTCATACAACGCCACAGCTGAACTTCAGCACGACTTATAAAGTAGCCGTTGAGTTCCAAATGGAAATTAAAATAATTTGCCGTCGCGGTTTCGGTTCGCAGACGACGCAAATTTGGCGATTTCACGTTGTTGTTTTGCATAGGACGGCTAAGAAATGTACAAATTTTCAAAACGCACGTGCTGAGCTATTGTTCTGCCAATTAGATCTCTTTTTTTTCAACGTCCTCGTTGCTGTCGCCGTCGTGGTTTCTTGAGGTCCTATTATCCTGTTTCCGACGGTATTTCAAGAACAAAACAAAAATGAAATTTTTGCTGGCTGTTCAAGGTTTCATACTAACAGGAATGCGATTCTTCAGTTCAGCAGAAAATATTTAACTTTAGATCCTGCCGGTATTTGAGAAAGTGGTACCTACCTCTCCCCCCCAACCCAGAAATGGTCAACTGATAACGAGATTGAGATAATTTTGATTCAGGGGAGGGGTAGGTGCACAGTTTATCGATACTGACATTGGTGAACATCGTCTGCGTTTAAGATGGGATAGAACATGGAATAATAAAGTCGTTCCTTCTTTGCAGCACTTGCAAGACGGTCACTCTGTCCAAGCTGCTATGTTGGTGGATCCCGTCACACAAGCGGCCGTCAGCGCCGGCATCTCAGCCAGTGATGTGGGCCAATCCGTCGTCGAGACTGTAGTAACCACTATGCCTCAGGTGGTGGACATACCAACTGCTGGGTCGGAGGTGTCGGTTGGCGAAGCTGTCGGCATTCCAACTGGACAAGTGCACATTATGGAAGTGGCCGACGGCACAGCAGTCACTACTGCTGACGTTCAAGCAGCCATAGGTGAAGCCATGCAGACAGCACATGTAACCGTAGAGGGATCCGATACTGTGGGTATCACCGTACCAGCAGAGATCCTAGCTGCCATGGCGGCTGCGCAGTCGCATCCTCATCTGTTGATAGCTACCGCTGATCAGCAGTTAATGCAGGCCCAAGTCACTGATGCAGCTGCTGACCAGCAAACATTCGAAACGCAAGGCGGAGACGTGGTGGGCCAAGCCTCTGGAAGTTCTGCACAGTTGGGAGGCGACCTGCAGGCCAGTGGCCACGGTGCGCAGCAGCAGCAGCAGCAGCAACTGGAAGAACCTATGCAAACAGAGTAGTTAAGATTGCGTGAAAATGCAAGTGGTGTACTTGTGTTGTAAGATGAAACTTCAGTTTTGACGTTTTTATTACTTTAGTCTTCTTTTTGTTATGCCGGGGCTGGCTTGTTTTTCTGTATTATTGATTTTGTACAAACATTACAGAACTTTGAAATATTCGTGTGACATGAAGTAGTTTGGATCGTTTCGTAAATATTGTAATCAATACTACGTTTTACGCTTCTTGCATTGAAAAGACGAGTAAATACATGAAGTGTTACAATTTGACACATTAAGATCAATTAATGTATTTGATTTCTTAATTGCGATCTTTATATCTGCGTGTAAATGACGTAGCTTTTGTCGTCAGTGTTAAATTTTAGTTGTGGGGATCTTTGAGTTGTAAAATCTGTTTGGATGGTAAAATCATTGCTCAATGTGATTAAAAAGTTAGAGTTTGATTTGTTTTGCCACTGCTTATGTCACCGAGCTAAATAAAATAACTCTATGACGACAGTCTAGTCTCTGACATTACTGTTTTTTTTTTTTTGTTTAATAAGTTCATCATTAAACGATTAATTTCTTTTCCTCCCGGTGAATAATTTTTTTTTAAGCTTTTGAAGAATAGAGACCTCTGTTACCGGTCATTCAGGCCAAGAGCGAAATCTCCTCTTTCAGCGACGATTCAATTAAACCCGAAAATACCATAGCGCGCATGCGCACAGAATATCAGTTACTTGACCGAGACAAATTTTCCCTAACAACATTAAGAACTGTATGGCAGACAGTAAAGAGAATTATTAATGAGATCTTGTATTTTTCACGAACGCTACTCAGGAATCTCTCCACAGGCATTCGAGTGCACGTTAGATAATAGTTGAACTGAGTCCAATTATATAATCTCTTTCACCTACTGGACTCAAAAGATGATGGTTTCATTTAACTTCCCGTGCTTTTCTGGAGGACATACACTCAACTAGTCTCTCTCGCAGCCGTTTTTAGTCTCGTTACGCAACGCTCCTCCCCACAAACGGCTGCTCACATTCGAACAACATTCCTTTCCGCTACTTCAACCTATCACCATTTGTGGGGAGGAGCGTTGCGTGACGAGACTAAAAACGGCTTCGAGGGAGACTAACACTCGACACTAATCATTCTAAGCAACATATGGCAATCTGCGGTCTTTCCTTACACTTAGGTAGCACGGAAAGCCGTAAAAATCTTGAACAAAAGCTCATCTTTCAAACCGGCAGTCTAAATCCCACAGGGATCAACGAACGCTTTTCATTCCACTAATTTATTCTTGTTTTTCTCGTTGCCATGTTCCCACCAATAACGTAGCTCCATTTTCTGCCTTTAAAAGCACACACAACCCACAATTCCTCTATTCGCTCCGACGAAGGGCTAACGCTCGAAACGTCAGCTTTTGTAATCGTTACGGTGGCCAATTTACCATTTCAACTTTGTTGATATATCCAAATTATTTCGTTACTCCCACCGACGCAGCCCCAAACAGTTTCTTTCGAAACTATCAGCCTATA